ACACGAAGATGTCGCAAAGAAGTGTCGGAGATGACAAGGTTGGCGGTGCCCCAGATGGACTTGGCGAGGGGCGTCGCTCGGGAGATTCTGGGCGCGGTGGAACCTGAGCCGAACGTGGACAGACGAGAGCCCATCTTCTTGGCCTCCTTTGCGCTGGTGAGTTGAATCCCATGACGCCTCCTCTGGCCACTGTTGGAGCCCCCTCCGAGGTCCCTGTGGGCCAAGGCACACGCTTGTCCTCCCCGAGACAGAAGCCCTCCGACTCCAAGACATTCTGGGTGATGTTCGACTCCGAGCAGGGCCAAAAACACTTGTCCCACGAAATCGGCAATCTGACCTCCTCTATGCCCTTCTGGACCAGAGCACAGACCTGCCCCACCGACCTGATCGCCGTCTCAAGGCCCCCGATGATGTGGCCCGTAAAGTCGTCTATAACGTTGATGGGCCTACAGGGTGGGACCTCCCTCGCCGGGGGGCCCAGGACGGACGGGGGCGTGAGCTTGGAAACCCCAGTCGCACACGAGCATCCCGCTACGACCGTGCCGTTCGCCGTGGTCTGCTCGCTGGTGCTGACGCCCCATCAGGCATGTCTTGGAGACCTGCAGAGGGTGCAGAGGGCCTTGAGGAGCCCGAGGTTGAATCCAAAGTGGGGCCCTGTGCGTCGAAGTTCTTCGTGCGATATATTATCGTAGAATTTCGCGGTATCGAAGAACGCTGAAATCGATGCGAGTCCTTTACGGCGAGCATGACAGACGAGGAGATTATCCATATAACTGGCCCTCTCTGCTGATGTGGAGGAACCCTTCCCCCAGAACGAAGCATTACCAACTTGCCTCTCCCACCGTCGTACTTCCTTCTGTCGAACTCTGCCCCGAATCTGAGCAACCGAACTGAGTGGCCTATAAAGCGAATTCCACCTGATGGCTTCGGAAGGAAGACAATGATGACGGTGACTAACGTGTCCTAAGACCGTGCTTTTTCCCATGCCGACAGGATGCTGGCAAGTCTCTCCACTGACCCTCTGCTAGCGAATCGTAGAGACCGTGGATGCAACGCTTCCCAACCCAAAGCTGTACCAGGTGGGAAACAATGAAGCACTCTGTAAACATCTCCTGCAGATATGTCCCGGAGTGCCCAATCGGCCTCCCGGGAACTCGGATGTCGCTCTTGGTCACGTGCAGGGGGGGGGGGGGGGGCACAACGCCAACTTCCCAAGCGCGAAGGATCTGCCCAACCGCACTGTGACCTGCCCACGCGAGGCCGTCGGGCACGATCGCAGCCTCCTCCTTCGGTTTGCAGCGAATAACAGCATAGGCAACCTTGGAATGACCACTGGGCGCATCCTTGGAGAAGCTTTGCCATTGCTTAGACCGCTCCGATGCATCTCGCCTCTGACAACGCTGAACCTCGCGCGTCAGAACATCATGAACAGCCTTGAGGACAATTTTACCTCGCGAAAACGAGGGCCACGGGCTCGACCTTTGTAGGCATCCTGATCGGCCTTGTCGATCCCCAGCCTAGCGCACAAGTCAACCTCCACCTTCCGATACCACTCCTGTAGAGCTGCATGTGTGGAGTTCGGCGACGAAGAGAAAACTGGAACATAAGGCTCATCTGCGTAGGGCTCGACCATTCCAGTCTTGGGATCGTAACCAACCTGGGCAAGTGGAAACGCCTTGCATGCTGCCTCCTCACTGACCACGGGCTTTCGACCATGCCATCGATAAACATCGCCACGGGGGAGTGTGGAGACATCGGCGCCTCTTCGATCACCTTGACTGAACAACCGCACGAGTCTAGGATTCTGGGTTGTCTAAAGAAGTCCCGCACGTTGTCACCACAAATCGCAGGCTGGGTGGTGCGGATACTGCCGTGGATGAGCCCGAACCAACCTGTCTCCGAGATGTCCCCAGGATCCATGTTCCAGTCGCCCTGCAAGATGAGCGGTCTGGATTGTCCCAAGGGTACCGAAGCCAGATGCTTCAAGAGATCCAAATTGTCTCCAGAAGCTCCAATCCCAGTAACCGTATATACTGAGCCCACGAACACCGCGGAAGATTGCGAAAGCGTGACCAGCCTGAAAATCGCACGATGCTGCCACCTCTCGGGGGATTCAACAGTAATGCGGGCACCCAGGCTGGAAGAAATCAGACTAGCCACCCCAACTGAGACCTCCAGATGCCCGCTGCCCGTTCTGTGCAACGGACCTGCAACCAACTTCACCGAACCGGACCTGCTCCACTGATTGGCCGACCGCTCCGCCTGATCCGAAAGAAAACGATGCTCCTGGATACAAACAATGTCTGGAACCCCACCATGCTTGTCGAGCTAACGAATAGCATCCTTGGCTGAAGCCCAAGTGTTACCATTCGGAGTGCAGACAGAGAGCCCTCGATTCACAAAGGGCTGTTCCAGTGCCAAATCAGCTCCCAGACGGACAACTTCCTCGACTGCCTTCATCGCGTCGCAGGCTTGGGCTGAGTGGATCGCCGCCGCTGCCCCAGTCCCACGCGAGGCTCCAGGGGCAAGCGCCAGTTGGAGATGGTCCAGCGGTGGCTTCACGCGTTCCGACGGCCCAGCAAGGGGATGTGGCGACGATGCGGTGCTGGAGCCGTCCAACAAGAGAGGCCTCCCAGTTAGTTGAGTAAGGCCGCGTGCCTCGAAGACCGAGACACCTCCAGTAGAACCATGCACGCTGCCCAGAGTTGCTGTCGTCGCCGAACTCGCCGTCGTCGAACTAACGAAATGACCAACACTGGGCGTCGAAGACTGCTGTGCCGTCGCCGCCGAAATGGAGGAAAGTAGTTCTGATTGTGCTGATTGACAACCGAGTTCAAGATTGGGGAGACTTGAACCGAACGCCGCCTCCTCCTGGTCAGTCAGGAACTGCAACTCACTGAACGCTTCCAACCGTCCACCATATGTGCTACAAAATGTGCATCTGAAATCTGCGCCCCCTGATCGCTCGCAAGGCTGCTCACACTGGACCAGGGGGCCCTCAAGAGAAGGGATTGTGGATGGGATTGAAACCGCGCCTCGCCAGAGCCTGCGCCCGCTGCCGCCCGAGGTCATCAAGCGCCCCCTGAGGGGCTCCAACTGCTGGCGGATCTCGGCGATGGAGTGCTGCTCGGGCACCCACTGGTTGACCGCCAGGGCATGGCTGGGCAGCCCTGGGGGCCTCGCTGGACCATCCGAGGGCGCACTCGCCTCCGCCTCTCCTGCTGCTGGGGGGCTGGGCACAGAACCCGTGCCAGCCTGGAACAGGGAGGCAGTGGGAACGATATGGGGGACAGCCTCCGCCAACGACTTGGTCTTGTTCTCCACATCCTCAGTGACTCCGAAGCCTCCGAGAATCTCCTGCAGCTTGGTAAGGTTGAGCTGAAGGGTCGGAGGAGGCGGCGCGTTGCCGCTGGCTGGGGGACCTTCTGCCACCAAGCGGTTCCTCTTCAGCGCCAGGTCCTGCAAGGCCTGCTCCTGCGCCACGATGTCGGCCTCGGTCTCGGCCATGCTGGCCTGCAACTGGGCTAGCTGCTGCTTCTGCTTGTCCACGCCCTGACGAGCCTTGCCCAGCTTGCGCTCGGCCGCCTCGATGCGGTTCATGGCCGCCAGCACCTGCGAATGGACGGGGCGGCTGGCATGGGGTCCCTCGCGCTACTTGGTACTCTCGGCCTCCAGCGGCCTCCTGCGCTCATTCCAGGCAGGCCCGACGAACTTGGCAACCGCCGCCAGATTTTTGTCCACCTCATTGAGTCTCGGTTTGGCAGCAGCCGCAGTGAGGGACTCGGACTCCATGGACACGTCGGGCTCGGCAGCTGTCTCCCTGTGCTCCAGCTTCCTGACCTTTTTCACGAAGTTGCTGGAGCTCATTGGCAGCCGCGGCGGTGGCCCACGGAGGAGCGATGCCGCGCTTAGTGCCACACTGAGCAGAAACAACCGACGGGGTGTGCGGTACAGCATTTGAACCGAAACAGACGCCCTTGTGCAATCCGCACAGCGCACACGTCGTGCGCCCACTCCCGTTGATCCACGGCTTCCCCGTCTTATCGTGAATGCATGACTTGCAAAATCACGTGGGCTTGACGACATTCTACGCCATACCGTCGCGCTCCCGACCGAGAAGGGCGGCGTCCAAGGAGAGACGCGCCCCACAGATGATGCAGGAAGCAGTGTGGTACGGCTGCCCCGAGCCCTTCTCCTTGAGCCAGAATGGCTTGAGCCACGCCTCATCCTCCTCCTCCTCCTCCTCCTTCTCCTCCTCCTCCTCCTCCTCCTCCTCTCCATCCTCCTCCTCCTCCTCCTCTTCCTCCTCCTCGTCCTCCTCCTCCTCCTCTTCCTCCTCTCCCTCCTCCTCCTCCTCCTCCTCCTTCTCCTCCGCCTCCGCCTCCTCCTCCTCCTCCTCCTCCTCCTCTTCTCCTCCTCCTCCTCGTCCTCCTCCCCCTCCTCCTCCTGCCGCTCCGCCTCCGCCTCCTCCTCCTCCTCCTCCTCCTCCTCCACCTCCTCCTCCTCCTCCTCCTCCTCTCCCTCCTCCTCCTCCGCTCCTCCTCCTCCTCCTCCTCTCCTCCTCCTCCTCCTCCTCCTACCTCCTCCTCCTCCTCCCCTCCTCCTCCTCCCCCCTCCTCCTCCTCCTCCTCCTCTTCTTCCTCCTCCTCCTCCTCTCCCCACTCCTCCTCTCCCCTCCTCCTCCTCCTCCTCTCCTCCTCCTCCTTCTCCTCCGCCTCCGCCTCCTTCTCCTCCTCCTCGTCCTCCTCCTCCTCTTCCTCCTCCTCCTCGTCCGCCTCCCCCTCTCCTCCTCCGCCTCCGCCTCCTCCTCCGCCACCTCCGCCTCCTTCTCCTCCTCCTTCCCTCCTCCTCCTTCCTCCTCCTCCTCCTCCTCCACCTCCTCCTTTCCCTCCTCCTCCTCCTCCTCCTCCTCCTCCTCGTCTTCCTCCCCTACCTCAAGCCATCGGATGCCTGTGGGTTCGCCCGTGGCCGCGGAGCCGGGGAGGGGCCCGCCAGCGGGCCTCCGCACGGACGACTTCTCCCGGCCCACGAGCTGCCACGGGCTGGCCGCGGAGTGCTCGGGCCTCGGCGTGCCGAGGAGGGGGTGGCGGGGGCGGGGCCGCCCTCGAAAGGGGGGAGGCGGGGCGGGCATCAAGGCGGCCCCAGGGGTCCTCAAGAGGACCCCCACGAGGGCTCGAGGAGGCCAAAAACATCGATTCTCCATCGGGTCATGCATGCTTTTAGGTTTCTCGCCGTTTCGGGCTTCCGACGGCCCCAGGCGGTCCGAAAAGGGAAGGGGGGGGAGAAGGAGTGGTAAGGTGGAGGAGCACGAGGAAGAGGAACAGAGCGGGAGGAGGCGAGGGAGGTGGAACGAAGAAGGGAAGGAGGAGGAGGAGGAGGAGGAGGAGGAGGAGGAAACATGCACCGCAGCTGAACGCCACCAACCACCAGTCAGACAGCTGGGCGGCGTGGCGCGGAGGGCTCCCACTCCTGAGTCGAGCAAGCGAGGCCAAGAGCGGCGAGCAGGCGACATGCCAGCACGTAGCCAAAGGCACGCACGAGCCGAGGGGAGACCTACCGCCCCCCCCAGGGCTCACGGGCACAGAGCGGCCATCGTGCTGGACAGGATAGTCACCATGGGCCGCTTCGGGTGGCGGCGAGACAAAAGCTTCGCCCAGGCGTCAGGTGTCCTGGGAAGGCCATCCTTGTTGACAGGAGGGCCCGAGCAACGACTCGCAAGATGGGCGAGCCTCAGCCCTGAGGTGTAACTCTTGCACACCTGACAGCAGCAAACAAGTGGCACGTGTGCCATGGCTCTTGCACAAAAAGGAAGGGGGAGGAGGAGGATGTGGAGGAGGAGGGGGGGGGGAGAGGATGCCAGACATCGCAGAAGGAGTGAACAAAACAGGGCCGCAAGAGGGGCTCCAGAGGGCGAGCGCGAGGCGACTCCAAGGGCCGTCCCCCGCAAGATGGCTTCAAAGACCTTTGACGGGTTCCCAGGAAGCCTCCAACTGACGCCCGAGAAGCCTACAGAGGGTTCCAAGGGGAGGCCTCCAGGGTCCAAGGAGGGCTGGAAGAAATTACTGAGCGGACTCAGCTGCTGGGGGCTCGCGGTGCAAAGTGCGCGGCGGCCTCCTCCTCCTCCTCCTCCTCCTCCTCCTCCTCCTCCTGCTCCTGCTCCTGCTCCTCCTCCTCCTCCTCCTCCTCCTCCTTCTCCTCCTCCCTCCCTCCCGCCCTCTCTCCCTCCCTCCCTGACCTCCTCCCTCCATTTTTCCTTCCTCCTTCCACCCTTCCTCGATCGTCCCTCCTTCCTCCCTCCTCCAGCACATCGCCGAACTGTCGGCTCATAGCCTGACTGCACCGTGCAAGGGCGGGTGGTGGATCTACGGAACAAGAGTAACCCTGTCGCACGGGGGACGCGCCACCCGATGAGGCACGAGGATCGCCTCAATCCCGGATCGGACCGACCAACCTCCTCCTCCGCTTCCTCCTCCTCCTACTCCTCATATCTCCGCCTCTCTCGTCTTCCCTCTTCCCTCCTCCTCCTCCTCGTCGTCGTCCCCCTCCTCCTTCTCCTCCTCCCCCTCCTCCTCCTACTCCTCTTCATCATCCTCCACCTCCTCCTCCTCCTCCTCCTCCTCCTCCTCCTCCTCCTCCTCTTCCCTCCTCCTCATCATTATCCTCCCCGTCCTCCTCCTCCACATCATGATCATGATCATGATCATCATCATCATCATCATCATCATCATCATCATCATCATCATCATCATCATCATCATCATCATCATCATCATCATCATCAGCATCATCATCATCGTTATCTCCATAATCATCACCATCAGCACCATCATCATCACCATCACCATGACCATGACTATCACCATCACCATCACCATCACTACCACCATCATCATAATTCTCCTCCTCCTTCTCCTCCTCATCATTATCATCATCAATCACCAGTCATCAAGCATATGTCACCCCTGCGCCATCCCTCCTCCTCCTCCTCCCCTCATTTTCCCTCCTCCCCCTCGGTCCCATCCTCTTTCTTCTCCTCCTCCCCCCCCCTCTTCCTCCTCCTTCTCCACCTCCTCCTCCGCCTCCCTCTCCTGCTCTCTTCTCCGCCCTCCTCTCCCTTCCTCCTCATAATCATCCCCCTCCTGCTCATCTTCCTCACTCCTCCTCCTCCTCCTCCTCCTCCTCCGGCCCGTCCCTCCTCCCCCCACCCTCCTCCCTTCGCCCTCCTCCCTCGTGCCTCCTGCCTCCTCCCTCACCCCTCGTCCTTCCTCCTTCCTCCTTCCTCTCCGCCGCCATCCTGTATCTTCCCTCCTGCCTCTTCCTCCTCCCCCTCCTCCTCTTCCTCCTCCTTCTCCTCCTGACTCACCAGAACGCATCGCCCAATTGTCGGCGGCTGCGGTGAGACTCAATCCAGGGGCCCCGTCCGCTTTAGCCGTTCCTCCTCCCTCCACTTCCCCGGCCCCTCTCCTCCTCCTCCTCCTCCCCCTCCTTCTCCTCCCCCTCCTTTTTCCTATTCCTCTTCCTCCTCCTTCTCCTCCCGTTTCCCTCCGCCCTCGTCCTCATCCGTCTGGCCTCCTCCTTCCTCCTTCCTCCATCCTCCCTCCTCCTTCTTCCCTTCCTCCCTCCTCCCTCCCTCGTCCCTCCTGTTCCTCCTGACTACAACGCATCGCCGAATTGTCGGCGCCAGCGAGGAGCGGGGGGGGGAGGACGGGCGGGCACCGCGCCGGTGCCGCGCCGAAATCCGAAGAGAATTCTGGGTACAGCCCTGAGATGTAGAGGGTCTGTGCACTTGCTGATGCAAGCAGGAATGTAATTTCGTAATGTCCCGGATCCCCAGTTTCTTGTTGCTGCTGCAACCAGAATTGCAATTTCGTAATGACCCGGATCCCCGATGTCCTAAGCGTTTTGTGGCGCTCGTGTGTTACTTCGCGAGGGCGGAAAGAAGATGGGCGGGGCGGAAGGAAACCATACGGAAAAGGCCCCGCTGAGGCCGCGGGGAACACTGGGGGGAAGGGGCGAAAGGGGCGCACCGGGGCAGGAAAGACATTGGCCGGGCACTGGGGCCGCGGGGCACTGGACGGGCGCTGGAACCGTGGGGGCGCTGAGACGGTGTCCGGGAAGGGGCGGAGCAGGGAGGGGCTGCGGTGCCGAAATGAAGTGGGCGGGGCGGAGGGGGCGCTGGGCGAGCGCTGGAGCCGTGGGGGGCGCTGAGAACGTGTGGGGGATGAGGAGCGGGAGGATGGGGGAGGGCTGTCGGGGCGGGAGGGGGGCAACTGGGGGGCGCTCGAAGCCGCGGGGGAGGCGCTCAGACGGTTACGGGGAGGGGGCGGAGCGGGGAGGGGGGGTGCGGTGCCGACATAAAGTGGTCGGGGCGGAGGGGGCGCTGGGCGGGCGCCGGAGCCGCGGGGGAGCGCTGAGACGGCGCGGGGGAGGGGGCGGAGCGGGGAGGGGGGATGCGGTGCCGAAATAAAGTGGTCGGGGCGGAGGAGGCACTGGGCGGGCGCTGGAACCGCGGGGGGGCGCTGAGACGGCGCGGGGGAGGGGGCGGAGCGGGGGGGGGGTGCGGTGCCGAAATAAAGTGGTCGAGGCGGAGGGGGCACTGGGCGGGCGCTGGAGCCGCGGGGGGGCGCTGAGACGGCGCGGGGGAGGGGGCGGAGCGGGGAGGGGGGGTGCGGTGCCGAAATAAAGTGGTCGGGGCGGAAAGGGGCGGCTGCCGCGAGGTCGTTAGAGACAACCGCCCGGGGGGGCGCTTAGACGGCGCGGGGCAGGGGGCGGAGCGGGGGGGGGGTGCGGTGCCGAAATAAAGTGGTCGGGGCGGAGGGGGCACTGGGCGGGCGCTGGAGCCGCGCGGGCGCGCTGAGTCGGCGCGGGGGAGGAGGCGCTGAGACGGCGCGGGGGAAGAGGCGGAGCGGGGGAGGGGGTGCGGTGCCGAAATAAAGTGGTCGGGGCGGAGGGGGCGCTGGGCGGGCGCTGGAGCCGCGGGGGGGCGCTGAGGCGGCGCGGGGGAGGGGGCGGAGCGGGGAGGGGGGGTGCGGTGCCGACATAAAGTGGTCGGGGCGGAGGGGGCGCTGGGCGGGCGCCGGAGCCGCGGGGGAGCGCTGAGACGGCGCGGGGGAGGGGGCGGAGCGGGGAGGGGGGATGCGGTGCCGAAATAAAGTGGTCGGGGCGGAGGAGGCACTGGGCGGGCGCTGGAACCGCGGGGGGGCGCTGAGACGGCGCGGGGGAGGGGGCGGAGCGGGGGGGGGGTGCGGTGCCGAAATAAAGTGGTCGAGGCGGAGGGGGCACTGGGCGGGCGCTGGAGCCGCGGGGGGGCGCTGAGACGGCGCGGGGGAGGGGGCGGAGCGGGGAGGGGGGGTGCGGTGCCGAAATAAAGTGGTCGGG